GCTTTGTTTTCCCTCCTATTTATATTCCTGTGAAACAGGAAGCCATGGCTGGGTAATTTCATATTCATAATCACCCTGGTATGCTCAAAATTGTAAATATGAATGGGAATATACTTCACAGATATTTTACTCATAAGAATTTCTAGGGCTACCAATAATTGTGTCCAACGTGTATTTGAGAAAAATATTTATTTCATAATGAGATTTTCATAAGAGAGTTTTAGTTCAATGAAAGGTTAGATATTTGTGATAAAAACAAAAACAAAATCAAAATGATTAACAATGCATTTGTAACAATGATTTATTTTCACAGACTTCTTTGATCATATTTACGAAGGGTGCCAATAATTCTGACCATGACTGTATGTGTATTATATTTATGAACATATTAGAGAAATCTCTGATGTCTTAGAATTTTTATTTAAATTCTAGGAGGAGCATTATACACCACTGAAGTCCTTGCCAGAGAAGCACAAAGAAAGCATTAAAGGAAAGTTTGAGAAAACAGGACAACACATCCAGGTGAGACTTTATTATTTTGACATATTCACAAATTTAATTAGATTTGTCTGATCTGATAATCCCATTGACTAGCACTCACCTTCTGCATTTTCACTTTAGCAAATTAGCTCGGGTGAACGCAGACAATGTGATTTAATATTCATGAGCCCAACATCCTGTTAGCATGACAGACACTGAGCTGTTGACATTATGCATCTACCTGAGGCCAGACCTCACAACTCTGAAAATGTCATATAGAACATTTTTGAACAGGCAAAATTAATTTATAAAAACTGCATACTTGAGGTTTATGCAACTACATTCTTGTCTGAAAAAAACTACACTCTGTGACACAGTAGTATTTCAAAAATTATAGTGGGTTTGCTCTTCCGCCATTGCCTTTTGCTGGGAAAAATGCTGCCCATCTCGCACAGAAACAAGCAGAGTGATACAAATGTAGTGATACAAAATGATACAAAGTAGTGGTACAGCCCCCATGCTGATACTGGTGTAATATCAGCATTCCTCTCAGGCAATCAGATTCGTGGAGAGGGGTTAAAAGCATCAAAACGCAAACCACTATAATTCGACAACTCAAAAATGTTGTTTAATATTTAAGGGGGAAATTACAAATAAAAATAAATGTATAATGCTTGCATTTTCTGGGTTGAGTTATGTGAAAGGGCCTTTATTGTTAGGGATGTTGATGTTTATAACTTAATTATATGATTTATAAATATAACATTTTTCACCATTTATACATGTTAATCTATATTTTTATTGTGTTTTGTTATTGTGTATTGTTTCATAAACAGAACAAAAATTATCTGATCAAGAAAAGCATCTTAATTGAAGATGGGAATCCTGCTCGATACCATCTGCAAAAAAGGACGGACAATTTGAATCAATCTGAACCATATAAAAAAATGACCTTTGGGGAGAGAGATAGACACAAACCTCATAAATCCATTCTGCTGGTGGGAGAAACAGGAACTGGAAAAACAACCCTGATCAATGTGATGATCAACCACATGTTGGGTGTTCAGAGAGAAGACAAGGTTTGGTTTGAGATCACAGATGATCAGAGCGACCGAACATCAGCTCACAGTCAGACCTCCAGCATCACTGTTTATGGGTTTTATCTACAAGAGAGTCCAATCGATTTAACAATCATCGACACTCCAGGATATGGAGACACTCGTGGAGTTGATCTTGATAAAGAGATCGCCATGAGTTTGCTCAATTTAAGTGAATCTACTGAAGGGATTCATGAAATACATGCAGTGTGTCTGGTGATCAATGCAACACATAATCGTCTCTCTGACAGACAACAATACATATTTGATGCTGTTCAGTCTTTATTTGGGAGAGATGTTGCTGAAAACATTGTCTTGCTCTTCACACACTCAGATGGAATGCCACCTAAAAATGCCCTGACGGCTGTTAAAGAGGCTAACATCAAGTGTGCAGTAAATGACAGAGAGAAGACAAGGTTTGGTTTGAGATCACAGATGATCAGAGCGACCGAACATCAGCTCACAGTCAGACCTCCAGCATCACTGTTTATGGGTTTTATCTACAAGAGAGTCCAATCGATTTAACAATCATCGACACTCCAGGATATGGAGACACTCGTGGAGTTGATCTTGATAAAGACATCACCATGAGTTTGCACAGATTAAGTGAATTAGAAAGCTGGGTTCATGAAATAGATGCAGTGTGTCTGGTGATTATGGCCCATCAAAATCGACTCTCTGACAGACAAATATACATATTTGATGCTCTTCAGACTTTATTTGGAAGAGATATTGCTGAAAACATCCTCTTGCTCTTCACACACTCATCTGGAGCTCCACCTAAAAATGCCCTGAGGGCTGTTAAAGAGGCTAACATCAAGTGTGCAGTAAATGAGCAGAATCAGCCCGTGTTTTTCCTGTTCGACAACTGTCAGTCAGAAGCTGCTGATGAAGAATATGAAACAATACAGGAACAATCATGGAATCTCAGTTTTAGAGGAATGACAGGATTATTTAATTGTCTTGACAAAAAATGTTCAATATCCTTGAAGTTGACTCGAGATGTGCTGCAGAAACGGGAGCAGTTGGAGACAAATATCTCCGATCTACAATCACGAGTTCAAGAGATGAAACAAAAAGAAAATGAGCTGAAACTAACTCAAGAAACTCTGAAGAAGAACCAGGAATATGTCAAAAATGATAAGAACTTTGAGTATGAAGTTGAAGTGGCCTACAAAGAAAGGATTGATATTGATTCTTCTAAAGCCAAGATGGCGATGTGCTGCACCGTCTGTGAGGAGAACTGTCATTATCCAGGATGCTGGTGGGTCAGTGATCTCTCGTGGTGCAGCGTGATGAAGAATTATCACTGTACAGTGTGCACTAATAAATGCCACTGCAGCAAACACATCAAAACAGCAAAAATATATGAAACAAAGACAAAGACAGAGAAGAGGACAGATGAAGATTTAAAAAAGGAATATAATGAGAAAATTGGACACGGTGTGTCTTTGGTCAAGAAGCTGGAAGACGACCTGCAGGAATTAGAGAGCGAGAAAAGAAAGCTGGTGAAAGCAGCTTTTGAAGCTATTGGAGCTCTGGAGAAGATCGCCCTCAATACTGATTCACTGTTCATATTTCAGCACATTGATTTTCTGATTGAGATGCTGAAAGAAAGAAATGAGCCTGAAAACGCCAAAACACTGGAAAACATCAAGCTGAGAGCAGAAAAAAAACAAGGAGCACTTGGATACTTTAGATATTATTTAAAAAAAAAAAAAATAATGTCTAAGATACACAAACCCTGATGAAACTCTGAAAACAGGATCCTGAAGATGTTTCTGCTTCTTTCAAAAACAAGTCCTTCATATGATGTAATCATATTATAATTGAATTTATTTATTAATCTAAAATTTTTCTGTCATTAGACTTGTACTGTATTTATATCATACAGCACTGTATGTGCTTTGGATAAACAGCATCTGCTAATTTAACTAAAATTAGCAGATGATTCTGTACTACACTCTAAAAAATAAAGGTGCTTCAAAAGGTTCTTCAAGCGATGCCATAGAAGAACCATTTTTGGTTCCACAAAGAACCATTCAGTCAAAGGTTATTTAAAGAACCATCTCTTTCTTACCTTTTTATAATCTGAAGAACCTTTTTTCACCACAAAGAACCTTTTGTGAAACCATAAGGTTCTTCAGATGTTAAAGGTTCTTTATGGAACCATTTAGACAAAAAGGTTCTTCTATGCCATCGTGAAGCACCTTTATTTTTAAGAGTGTATACTGTACTACTATAGTGATTACTGTAATTCCTGCTGGAAAACAACACAAACTGACAACAGCATAAAACAGTTTATGCAGTAAGATACAATTGAAAATGTAGCAATTATATTGTAAAAGAAACAAATAACCAGAATATTTATATTTATTGTAAAATGACGGACATGTAATCATGGTCACTAAGAGATAGTTTAGAGACTGTTTTAACTGTATTATTAAGTGCTGCCACCTAGAGTCAAGTCACCTTTATTTGTATAACGCTTTATACAATACTGATTGTGTCAAAGCAGCTTTACAGTGTTAAACAGGAAAATAGTTTGTCAATAATGCAAGAAGACAATTACAGAGTAATTTTTCCAGCTAAAGTCAGTTCATTGATGATTCAGTGATGTCATCATCCAGTTCAGATCTCTTCTGTATAGTGTCTGTGCAATCAGTCAAGCGTCCCCAACTAAGCAAGCCAAAGGCAACAGTGGCAAGAAATCAAAACTCCATTGGTGACAGAAATGGAGAAAAAAACCTTGGGAGAAACCAGGCTCAGTCGGAGGGCCAGTTCTCCTCTGGCCAGACGAAACCAGCATGCTGTGGTTTAATTCCAGGCTGCAACACAGGTGCAGAGGTTCCCGTGGTCTTGTGCCGATGGTCAATTTGAATTATAGAAATGCGACAGTGTATTTTGTGTATGCCAGGTTAAAGAGATGGGTCTTTAATCTAGATTTAAACTGACAGAGTGTGTCTGCCTCCCGAACAACGCTAGGTAGATTGTTCCAGAATTTGGGCGCTAAATAGGAAAAGGATCTGCCGCCCGCTGTTGATTTTGATATTCTAGGTATTATCAAATGACCAGAGTTTTGAGATCGCAGCGGACGTAAAGGACTATAATGCGATATGAGCTTGCTCAAGGGCTTTATAAGTAATTAGCAAGATTTTAAAATGTATTCATTGTTTAATAGGGAGCCAGTGCAGTGTTGACAGAACCGGGCTCATGTGGAGACGAAAAGTAAGTAGATCTAGCAGTTTTTTAGAGCTTTTCTATAAGTAGAAGTACATTCCCGCCATGCAATACGAAATACCTCTAGTTTTGCTTTCTTCTAGCTGTGCTCCATTTTACAGGCTGCTCTCTTTAAGGCGCGAGTGTGCTTGTTATACCACGGTGTCAGACTGTTTTCCTTAACCTACTTTAAGCTTAAAGGAGCAACCGTATATAAAGTGTTAGAAAAGACGAGTCAATAGTTTCTGTTTCATCATCAAGTTTTTCTGAGCTATTGGATATGCTGAGAAATTGAGACAAGTCAGGAAGATTATTTACAAAGCAGTCTTTTATGGTAGAAGTGATGGTTCTACCATATTTGTTAGCTTTAGCTTCATGGTGTGTACACAAGACTAGATAATGATCCGAGATATCACTCTGCTGCAGAATATCAACGCCATTAACGTCAATTCCATGTGACAGTATTAAATCTAAAGTATGATTACGACAATGAGTAGGCCCTGACACGTGTTGTCTAACTCCAATAGAGTGCAGAATGTCTATAAATGCTGATCCCAATGCATGTGAAGTCATGTGAGAAAATATTGCATATTCTTCAGGTTAAGAAACATTTCCATATTTATGAAGAAACAGTGATAAAAATCTGAGACTGTCATGAAAGCTCTTCTGGAATGTGTTGTTCATCTTCTATGACATTTGTGGGCCTTACATGTTTATTGCTTTATGGTTTTTCTTTGAAATAATACAACGCAGCGGAAATATGAAATGATTTTACTTGTATCTTACTTATATAAATAAAGTAATAAAAAAAAAATTCCAGAATATTCCTGTACAGCATTTCATGTCAGAACCAAATGTGTCTCCTCTCCACCCTAGTGTGTGTTGTGTGTCGGTCAGTAGCGGTATGTGAATCATCCCGTCCTGCTTTGTCCATCTTTTAAAATAACCCACAGCAGCTGAAACAAAGCCTGAGAGACTGGAACAGTTCATGCTGATGACTGAAATGACCACAACTGACGAAAACATGACAATAAACATAACATACAGCATATGAGGGCACAACAAGACTCAGTTCATCAGTAATTTGATTTGTGTGCAATTCAGATTTCGATGGTAAAGTTGACTCGAACCAAAGTTTAAGTTGTAATAGGCCTGATCATGGGTGAAAAAAGCCTGTTTTCCCAGCAGACAGAACCATGCCGTTTCTCTAGATAATATTAGGTGTCATCTTTTCTACGAAACTATTCATTCCTTCTCAAACAGACCTGCATGACGAAAAGTTATGCTGAGTTTAATAGAGTGTTATTTTGGTTGTGCCTTTATTTCATATGACAGTGTGGAAATAATGTTTCTCTGTGTGACTCAAAGCCATCAGAGCCAGAATCATCATTAACAGCAGCTCTTCATCATGTTGTGTGTGAAGAGCTTCTGCAGGTTTGGAAACTCCTCATATGTGTTACTCATCTGTATCGGTGAGAAAACACACGACACAACAGGGAAGCAGAAAGTGGATGTTAATGAAGCCACAGGCTCATGTGAATTTGAGTTTATATGAGACACACGTCTATATAAAACACTAGAGAACATCAGCACTGGAAAGTCATGCATTAAATCAAATAACACTTTTCATTAGGACAATTAAACAACAACTGCTAAATGCTCACTTATCTGTGTTTACCATTTAGATAGAGCATGCTTGTCCATTTGACAAATAATAATCTTACTGACAAAACCGCAAACTACAGAACAAGTAACACAATAGTTATTTGTATTTGTCTCATAAAAAGCAGTAATTGTCAATCAGTTTCCAGGGACTTTTTTTTTTTTTTTTGCTTTGTTAAATCTATTAAACATACATATTAAACATTTTTTATATAAATAAAAAATTAAAATAAATAGTTACATAAATAGTAAAAAATAATAATAATACTTTAAAATAAAAAGGGATTTATTAACATAATTAAATAATTAAAACGATTCCGTTTTTGGATTCCTTCGTTAAAATGGCTGTGTTAAGAGAACCCAACAAATACGGTGAGCTCATACGGTCAGAAAGTGTCGCTCTGAACGCTCGCGGTATCATTAACTAAGAGCCGTTATGTTGATAATAACCGGAGCGCGACGCGCGTCCAGAACTCATCAGCAGTTTTACGCGTCGCGTCACTCGTGTGCACAAGTGAACAAGCAAGTGAAGGGACACTTCATAATCCTTCTGGGGTTAATAAATGAAGTTACATACAAACTAGCGTTTGCAGAAAGATCTGTGCGTTTTAGTTGACCAAAGAGTTGCATACAGTATATGGAATATGATCTATTGTAGACGGTTTGTTTTTACGCAGATCTCTCTCAGGAGGTTTCATTCTCTCGGGGCCGTTATCCAGCTAACTATTTATTGTTTATTTGTTGGTTTCTGAAATGTTTAGCATCAAATAGTTTATTCTTATTAATCAACTATTCAGGACATATCACTTTTTTAATCTAAAATGGTTATCATAGTAACAGTTGCAGCTTCAGTAAAACTGGTAACTTATACCAATGTCCTTAAAATACAGAAATTCATATATATTTATTATGTTATATGTAATACATGAATATAACTCTAACTATGGGAGTTTATTTTGTTTGAGTGGTTTCCATGTGTTTTTTTTGGGTGAGGTCCTGTGAAATGGCTTATTTAGGATGGCTTATTTGACACTGCCTGTATTTTGCTGGTGACATATTTATATTTTTACTCTTGTGTGTATTTGCATTAAATGCTGCGGTTTGATTGCATTTACTTTATAATGAAAACAAGCACAGTAGGAGGGTTTGGTGCATGCTTTAGATCCTTATAATATAAAGCTAAATGTATTTGCTTAGTCTTTATTATTCTTATTTGTACACTTTTTTTTAGTCCTGACTGAAATGTGAGGTGATAGAGTTTTATGTAACACAAGGCCCTTTTGGTTTTACATGACTGCCTGATTTCAGGGGCTTGTCTAGACGTGTCTTGGGACACTTTTCACGCTCAGCTGTCTTCATTAATTACCATGACACATCTGTTTGTTTCCGGGGTTAGAAATCTAGCAACCTACATCTGAAAATACTAACAAAACAATGATTTACGTGAGTGATTCTGGCCTTTTATAGTCTCTCTTTGCTCTTTCATGTATTTAACAAGGTCTATGTCCATGTGGATGTAAGGAAGAAAATATATAACCAAGCGCATTAATGTAATGCATTTAGGGTCTCTCTGTCTGATGTTGGTATAATTGGCCCTTCATTAAATTTAGGCCTTTTAAAACCAAAGTGCGTTTGATTATCTACTTTAGCACCAGTCACGCATTCTATAAAGAAGTTTAAAGTAGTGTTATTGCGAGAGCTGATCTTCTGCTGAAGGTCTGAAGTACTTAAGTAGGTCCAGGTGATCCGGAGACGGCACTTACTTGAGGTGAAGTAATTAAATAGACTGCAAAATCGAAGTTCAACAACTTGTTTCAAAAGTTTCGCTTGGTGTTAATCATATAAAGACAATGTTAGTAAAGGGCACTTTTGGTGAT